AATACCATCAAACATCCACATCTGCCTATCCCAGGTCCTTGGTAAGGATTCGATAGGTAGACAAAATGCCAAATCCAGTCTGAACATCTGGCTGACTGTGCGATGATCCATAATAATAATAATAATAATAATAATAATAATAATAATAATAATAATAATAATAATAATAATAATAATAATAATAATAATAATAATAATAATAATAATAATAATAATAAAAAAGTTGGAAGGGACCTTGGAGGTCATCTAGTCCAACCCCCTGCTCAGGCAGGAAACCCTATACCATTTAAGACAAATGGCTGTCCAGTCTCTTCTTAAAAACTTCCAGTGTTGGAGCATTCACCGCTTCTGGAGGCAGGTTGTTGGCAGGTTGGAGGCAAGTTGGTGAGAACTAACTTGTTTCCTCTTTTGCTTGAAAAATGGTGCTAGAATCTAGTAAAAAAAGAATTGTTATTTTCACCTTGATGCAGTCGAAATGTTATTGGACTGCAACCTTTTCTTTTCTCAGCCCTGCACGGTTGGTGGTTTGAGGTAAGAGAAATTGTCACTCAACACATCTCACTCAAGACATCAAGTGGGGGAAGACTGAGCTAAAAAACTGTGAAAATAAGTTATGTAGAAAATGTGTAATGTTATGTATAATGGTTGTTTCTACAGCATGCTCACGCCCTTGAGTTACTGAAGGACCAGCTAGTGGAAGGAGCGAAGGCATTAGATGTAGGATCAGGAAGTGGCTATCTCACTGCTTGTTTTGCTAGGATGGTAAGCAAAAAGCATTTTTTGCAAAATAAATCCCTCTTTCTCTTCTTGCTACAGGTGAGAAGGCATACCTATGTGTGTTCTTTATAGTTAGTATTCTGTCAACTTGATGTATCCGGTGAAATTGCTGTCTGGCTATTACAAAACTTAAACTCTGAAAAATTAAATGGAAAACACAAAAGAATCATTTGCATCTCTGTGTGTGTGCACAAAACCCCATACAGAACATTCTTTAATTATTCCACTACTATCAGGCAATATAATTTTTTAGCACTGTAAAGAGATAAACCAAAAGTGAGTTCCACTTACTATGGTGGAATTTTGCTGTGTGGTTAGATTTGTATGAATGACACATTTTTTTCCTCACATTGGAACTGGAAGAAAGAACGAGATGCAATTGTACGATAGTTGCAAATAAATTGCTTGTGAGTATAACTTCCAATTACATAAGTAATGTTAAACAATTCTAAAATTCTATTTAAAATTAATGAATCTTTACTAAATTAAACTCAATGATTTATTTAATGAAGTCTATTTTCTCTATAATAATGAATTTGAAGTGGTAATAGAGTTTGAATTATACTTGACTCCTTTTATAGGTGGGGTCCACAGGCAAGGCAATAGGTATTGAGCACATAGAAGAATTGGTTCATGAATCCCTTGGGAATGTCAGAAAAGATGATCCAAACTTGCTTAGTTCTGGACGAGTGAAACTTTTAGGTAAGTTATCTGTTTTGTAGCTATGGTACCAATTCTGTTTTGATAGGTGCTTGGTATTTTCAACAGTAGAGAAAGCATTCTAGAAAGATATTTCTTAAAATATATTTTTCAAAGCTACAGGGGTGAGTTGTCTCTAAAGCAGGGCTTTTTTTCAGCCGGAACGCGGCGGAACCGCGTTCCGGCACCTTTTTCCGGGCCGGCCGCACCGGAAATAGCCCCTCCCACACCGGAAATAGCCCCTCCCAAATTTTACTTGCATTCCTGTTCTCTAAAGGGGCGGTCCTAGGGTTTGATGAGGGCATGGCCAGGTTTGAGTTCCGCCACCTTTTCTCCGAGAAAAAAAGCCCTGCTCTAAAGAATTATCTCTATATAATAATTCTTTTTATGGTAAATTGGATGATCTGGATGTTTTGATATTCACTGCTTTCCATATGACTTCTTTTTCATTTTACCCAGAAGTTTTTTACTGGATCTTTTTTAAAGCTCCTTCTAATTGGAAAATAAGAGATTAAATTATATCACTGAAATATTGAACGGAATAATACTGAATGGAACTTTTCTCTAGTGATATCCATGGTGTGATGCTTCTACTTCAAAATAGGTCCCTTTCCCCCCCAGGAACTCTTTGTGTTAATGAAGCCTGCCCCTGACGATTAATCAGCTTGCATATATTTTGTTCTTTATCTGTCATTTTGCTCTGTAGGTCTTGTGTTTTTGTATTACACATAAAAGTATCTGTAATTTAAACTAGACACTGTTTTCAATCTCCTGCGGGGTTTCATTGAAAATGGATTGTAAATGAAAAAAATCATTTTCTTCTTCTTATAAAACCTTCACTGCCCACATTCCTTCTCCACAGTTGGGGATGGTAGGAATGGATATCCTGAAGAAGCCCCATATGATGCCATCCATGTTGGAGCAGCTGCACCCACTGTGCCAATGGAGGTAGGATACAGAAGGACCCCTCTCAGCTCCGTTTAATAAACAATAATCTTATCTTCTGTTTTCCAAGGTACAAAGAATGCTGTGGAACTGTGACCCATGCTGGAAAATTAGCCCCAAATATATATATATATCCCTAATTGTGTTAAAAATATGAATCCTGGGTATACACATATTGCCAAAATAACAAAAAATCTGGAGCACCAGGATAAAGTATAAACAAACTGTTTCATATATAAAACTACTTAGCTTTCGTCGGCCAACCTGCCGACATCGTCAGAGTACAAAGCAAAAGATCCGGGAGTTCGCTTATGTAGCCGGCTGCCACTGCGCCCTGCTCCTCGATCGGGTCATTGGGCCGCTCGTTTCCTCTAGTCGTATTGCTCCTAAATGCCCCGCACCAGTCAAAATGCTGTTCTCCCGCTCGCAATTGCTGTTACTCCCCTGGCGTGCATGCAAATGCCCAAGGGCTGGCTCTCCAGTCGCTCTCGCTCATCGCTCCCCTCCCCTCTTGCCACCGGACGGACCTGAGCGTCCTTCTTAAAGTTGTTTATAGGACACGCTTCTGAAGCTGTTCCCCCGCTCGCAATTGCTGTTATTCCCCTGGCGTGCGTACAAACGCCCAGGGGCTGGACCTCCAGTCACCCTCACTCATTGCTCCCCTCCCCTCTCGTTACCGATACAGAGAGAGAGAGAAAGACTATATATATATAGAGAGAGACTATATATATATATAGTCTTTAATTTGCCTTACCATATTTACTGATAATTGTTCTGTATTACCAGTTGCTGAATGAACTGAAACCTGGAGGAAGACTGATTTTGCCAGTAGGGCCAGAAAATGGAAATCAGGTTATGATGCAATTTGACAAAACTATGGATGGCGAGATTGTGGAAAAGCAGCTGATGGGTGTGATATATGTTCCTCTGACAGACAAAGAAAAACAGTGGCCTCGGTAAAATATTAAAACATTTTTTTTCTTTTGTAAAGTTACCCCAGAATATTGAATTGGTGTCCTAATTGGCTTTTGCTAGGCAAAGTAAAGCTACTAATATGAGAGTGGAATCTCTAACAAAACCACTATAGAGACTAGAACTATCTTCCCTTAAGCAGACAAGGAATGACTATCTTAGAAAATAAAATGAAATTTTGGAGTTTGAGCTCATTATAATTTTGCCAAAACCACTGTTCAAAAATGTTACTCCAAATAATGATTTCAGAATCTCTTTGTATCTTTCTGATATGTTACAGTTTTAATTTTCCAACATTTAATGCTGTGAATACATGGAAACTGCAAGTTAAGTTCTATTAAGCTTCATGGAACTTGCTTTCCCAAAAACATGCATGTGACTGGATTGCAGATGTATTTATAAGTGTGAATTTACATATACTTTGGTTTAATATTGATGTTCTAAAGGGTTTTATTATGCATATTGTAACTCCAAAATTTAACAATTATTCCTATACACTTCTTTGAATTAAAATTAACAATGGTAAAATCAGTTTGTAGCCGGAAAACAAAACAAAAGAGTAAGAGTTCCTGCTTTGCCCCTCCTTCCATTCTTCCTTATTTATGCTCTAATCACAATTAATTGTTCAATCTAAAACTGGAAAGCATGATTTAGTATTAATTTACTACTCAGAATCTTCAGTATTCTGATTACTTATATAACTCTAAACAGCCACCTTTGGTAGTATTTTTAGTGACACAACCAAATATTAGCATTGAGTTTTAGGAAGAAAGAATGATTGTGTGATATAATAAAAGTCAATTATTTCTTTTTCTCTAGGGGTGAACTTTAAAAGATTTAAATAGCTTATAAAGGACCTTTTGAAAATCTATGAACTATATTTGGAAAAATTGATATTTGCAGTACAGTATATATGCATGCTGATTTATCCTCTTTGAAAGTAACATTTGACCTGTACTTTTAAGAACTTGGATGGAATTTGGAAACAAAGCAAGGCAAATTGGGTGATTCAGGAATAGCAACACATTTCACAATTATCAATAAATCTTGTGTGTACCAATGTAGAATAAACAATGGAGCCACTTTCTGTGACTTTTATAAATATGATAAGAAATGGTTTATTTGTGATTTAATATTTGGAAAGTATTTTTCATATATCCTGTTAATGCAGAAAACAGTAACCATCTTGCCTGATAATATTGGATCTGGTTTTAGATACAGCAAAACAAGTCCTGACCAAAAGTGAATAACTGTACTTAATGATCTACTTTTCTGTGATCTATACATAATTTTAGCTGAAGTTATACTGAACACCTGAAGGCACTTTGTGCCCCAAAGCAAAAGTATAACTTATAATGATTAAAAGCTCAGTAGACAAATATTTCCTTGAGACTTAAAGATCAATAACTGATGCCTATAACTAAGATATTTTGGGTGAACCAATAAAAACCAAGGGTTGAACTTGATGACCTAAATGGCTCCTTCTATGATTCTGTGTAGATATAAATAAATTCTAGTATTTCTGTATTCCCAATTCTTTGACAAGAAAGAATTAGGTATTCTTTTTACCCATAAACTAGGCTGTTGAAAGGAAAAATGGGAGTAGGAAATGAAGAAGATTTTTGTATAATGTGACTGCAATCTCAGTTATGATATTGACAATAAATTCTGTTCACAATCTGTCCAGATATACCTTAATTCTACATACCTTATATGTATCATGTTATACCCTTTCAGGACAAGCAACAATACTGTGGAAAACAGAAAAGAAGTAAGAAATAATGGAAACAGAAATATTGCTAAATTTGGTTTATATAATACCATCCTCTGTACTCTTCTATATCGTTCTTTTCTTACAAATTATTTTTAATAATAGAAGTTTCTGCCCCCCCTCATTTAACAGCCTTCTGATCTGAAGTCAGAGAAATCCATCTTTACTAATAAAATACAATGTTTTCTTAAAGGCAATAAAAGGCTGACAGGCAGTCCTGGAATCAATCAACATTTAAAAGGCATGGCAGTTTTAACACCTGTGTCCATACTCTTACACCTCTGTCTAGCCAGGAAGATAAAAGACTCTTAGAATTTACATCCCAATCTACCTTCAAAGATAGGACATAACACCTTACAAAAGAGAGAGCAACAACCTGACATATCTTCACAAACATGTTCAAGGAATATTTTACAACCCAAAATATTTCAATTTCAAAGCCCTAGAATGATATAAAAATCCATGTACTCATCAGGTTATTTGGTCAGCCACTCCAGAAACACCAAATAAATGGAGACCTCCTTTCCAATATGCAGCCTGCCTCAGGCTTATTTTCCTCTGCCAGGGTTTCCCACCTCCCTCCCCCCCACCGACTTGGATTGAGACATGAACCAGATTTTTCTTCCAACACTACTATGCCCATACAACACTACACATATTGCCTTTTGTTGTTCACAATTCTTATCTCTCACACTTTGTTTTCCTCTAAACCCAGTCATTCTTTACCTATATTGTTTTCCAACAGAATCCTCATTCATTTTCTGTATAAGGCTAACCACCTCAATAAACTCCTTTTATGTCACTCATTTTTTAATTCAATCCACTTTCATTTATTCATTCTTAACCTGCATCCCTCATTTTACTACATATACTTTCCTATTCAGTTTATTCAATTTGCTGTTACAACATACCCAACTCTTATTTCTATATAACAAAGTGGACAGATATATGCTCCTGTGCACAACTATTTTATTTCAATAAACATTCATTTCTTCAAACAAATCATATTGTTATCATTTTTCACGGGGAAGACTAGAACCTAGATCTCCCTATTCTTAGTCCAGCACCTTAATCAATTATCCCAATACTCAGTGTGTATGCACTTGTGTAAAATTAGCCTTCATCAGAGCACTTCATTCACTACTTTTGTAAATAGTACATAAAGTGATTCCTTATTCATTTCATTGGTTAATTCATTCTCTTTACCACTTACTTCCTTTACATTACAATTTCCAATACAGCAAATCATAAAGCTTTATTATTGTTATAGTCCAACATATAGAGATGAGGTCGTTAGAAGAAACAAAAATATAATCATTGCAAGCTATTAACACTTATGTAAGACCTATATAAAATAAAGTTATTGTATGAGACATACAAGGTTATAAAAGATAAAAAGGAATGGAAATGGTAGAAGTGGAACATCTATGCATCAAGTGAGAGACTATGCACTAATAAAGGAAACTAGATGCACAATGAGTCTAGTCTATATTTCTGAGTCCCATCATCTGACAGGTTTTGAGTGCTGATGCATAAAATGACAGCACTTCGTGTTCATAAGGAAGATGCTGGCCATGTGGGGCCATCTTCCCAGGTCTTGCAAGGTTATATCATTGACCTTTTATTGTCATTTTATCATGTTTGGTGGATGTGTAAAAAAAAAGCTGGAAAAATTTAGCAATACCTACAATGGAGGAATGGTTGAAGATGACAGAACTTTCAGGAAAAGCTAAATTTGTCTGATTAGCAAAAAGACCATGTTTATATTAGTGATTCAAAACCTTATTGGGTTTTTTTGCATAAAAAAGAAAAAATGAACATGTATTATTCTGATAGGGTAGACTATAGTCACAAGGTAACCTTAGAGAGCTTAAAATATAATGCTGAGAAGATGGGAAGCCAGTTTTTATTTTTGGTATCTTTTTTTCTACTTTTCTACCTTCCTCATATTTTTTTCCTTTATGCACGCCTTAGCTTTTAGTCTTTTTTTACTTCTTTTTCTTCTTTAGTATGGTCAATACAAATATTAAAAAGAAGTGGCAGTATATATTCATCCACAGCTGGGCCAATAGATTTTGTTCTCTACCACCGGTTATAGCGCTAGTCAAGTGAGACTATCGCATGACTTTAATAAATTAAAGCTTGTACTATATCGCCAGCTTTAATCGTATCTTTGCCACATATTTCTTGCTAATGCAGTAGTTAAGGGCAGTAAACGTCGGTTTTGGTGCATTTGGGCCACTGTGCTGCAAGTGCGAATAAAGCCCACTTTTAATTCAGATTAACCTATTCAAGTTAGGATGTCTGGAGCCTACTACTAACAGACCGGATAATCTCTTCGATCCAGTCATTGGAAACATGCTCCAAACGTTACTCTGCTCGGTCCTCCCGAGTTCAGCAAAACAAAATGCGCAACCTTCCGTTAATCACTACCGCATTTGTAGCAGACAGCACGTCCGTTCCGTCGCTTGCTTTACACGTCAGAGACATAGAATAACGTGATTGGGTAAAGATCGCGCGGTCGCGCGGGGGCGGAGCTCGACCACGCCACGTGGTTGGCTGTCCGCCTATATTCCTCGGCATGCGACCCGCGCCGTTTTGGAGATCATTGCTCCGTTTATTCTTAGTCCGGCCGAACGCAGAGCGCGCTTCCTTGGGTCTTCCAGCCGACCTTGTGCCCGGCAGAAGCATGGAGGGGAAGCCGATCCCCGAGCCTAAAGAGCGGGAAAGCTCTCCTCCGGTGGCCAAGAAGAGGCGGCTGGCCAGGGGGCAGGGGAAGCGGCCGGGGCCGCTCGAAGAGGGAGAGAAGCGGTACGTGCCGCCGCCAAAGAAGCGGAATACCGGCGTCAGCTTCGGAGAGGCCCATTTCGCCGAAACTAGTTACTACTTCGAAGGTGGGCTTCGCAAGGTGCGCCCGTACTACTTCGACTACAGTACTTACTGCAAGGGGCGCTGGGTGGGAAAGAAGCTTCTGGACGTCTTCCACTCAGAGTTCCGGGGTCGGCCCATCGAGTACTATCTGGCCGCAGCCAAAGCCGGACGTCTGCTGCTCAACGAACACCCCTTGGAAGACCTCAGCGTCGTACTCAAGGTGAGGAGGCCGGGCGTCAGGCGAAACGCCGAAAGCTCCTGCCTTGGACCCATCCCACGCGGCCAGCGTCCGGTGGGAGAATGCGGTCACGCAGCGAGAAAGAGCCAAGTCAGGCAGTGAAGGTATCGGACAAGTCCCGTAGCCAGCCTTCTGGTCTTAGTAGTCTCTCCTTCTTCCCCTCCCCTTTTCAATATGAACATAGCAGATATAGACCTTTTTTTTTTTAACAAGCACCTCCTAACCCAGTGTTTCTCAACCTTGACAATTTTAAGGCATGTGGACTTCAATTCCCAGAATTCCACAGCCAGCATTGCTGGCTGTGGAATTCTGGGAGTTGAAGTCCACATGCCTTAAAATTGTCAAGGTTGAGAAACACTGTCCTAACCTGTAAGTTTTGCACTGACGGATATTTGAATATGTGTGCATATATCATCGAATCAGGTGTGCAAAAATACCCCATCAGTGCTTGGGTTGCGTGGTTTGCACCACGATGAGGCCCCAAACTGTTACAAATGTGTCATGACTCATTCTGGGAGGACAGTTGCCGTTTGTAATGTGACTTCGTTCCATGTGAAAATACAAGGATCTGTGCTTTAGGTTTGGTTTTTGTATCTCAAGAGTAATTACAGTTTCATGGCTGATTTCATACAGAGGATTGTGGTCTACAATTTGATGATAGTTTATGTTTACTAGATTAAATATCAGTGCCACTTAATTGTTACGAGTTCAGTCTTTGAAGGCAGACATACTGGTATTATTTTCAGGTAGTTCCTTTGAAAAATTATATGAAAAGCTATTTATTATTTATTTATTTATTATTTAAATTTATATACCGCCCTATCTCCCTTACGGGACTCAGGGCGGTGAACAGGCAATAATAAAAATCACAATAAATATTAAATAAAAAGCCTGCTCTAAAATACCTCATATAAAAACCCCTACCAAAACACAATCAAAACTACGCCAGGCCGGCCGCATGGAATAGATGGGTTTTCAAGGCTCGGCGGAAGACTATATGACCATACTTTGCATACTAACTGTTTCAAAAAAAATATTTAGCTAAACTAATGTATAATAATTGCTTTGTTTGCAGAATAATGACTTTCTGGAGAATACCATACATCGCCATGAACCTCCAGTTACAGCACAAAAAATTGAGTTTATAGAGGACAACGATGAAGTTGTGGTTGTAGACAAGCCCTCATCTTTACCTGTTCACCCTTGTGGTGGATTTCGGCACAACACTGTCATTTTCATTTTGGGCAAAGAGCATAACTTGAAAGAGCTGCATACTGTTCATCGGCTTGATCGCCTGACATCAGGTGTCCTCATCTTTGCCAAGTCTGCAGAAGTGTCCAAGAGAATTGATGAACAAGTTCGACAACGACAGGTCAAATTGCTTTTGTTAATGATGTCCAGTTCAAATTGCTTTTGTTAATGATGTCTTGATATTTATAATATACTTCTCCAACAGCATCTGTATGATATACAGATTTAACCATCTTTAAAGTAAGAGTGCAAGAAGGTTAATCTAAGAGAGATTCAATGCATGCTCAGTGAACTTCATAACCCAAACAAAAATTCTTGTAGGACTTCCAGGACCAGAACTTTAACCTCTATATGAGTTTGGTACATTCCTGACGAGATCCTATTTGGGATAGTGGTTAAGGCATCAGGTCAGAAACTGGAACCATGAGTTCTAGTCCTGCCTTAGATCCAAGCCAAATAGTTGACTTTGGATCAGTCACTCACTCTCAACTCTAGATAGCAGATAATGATAACTCGCTTCTGGAATCTTTCCAAGAAAATTGCAGGGAC